GGGCGGGAGCCGAACCCGGGGGTGAGGCCGCCGCCGAGGTCGTCCTGTCCCGGCGTCCTTGACCAAGCCACAGCCCCTCGCTAGCTGAGGCACACATCTGAGAAATGGGTGGGGATGGCAGGGTACAGGTGTGCCCAGGTGTCTCCGACTCCCAGGCACTGGCCGAGTCAGGGACCGACCCCGACGCGCCGCTGGAAGGGCAGGCGGCAGGTTATATTCCTTTCCGCAGTCTCTGCAAATGCAGTTTTCTTGGTGCAGCGTCCCGGACCCCTGCACCACCACCAGGGTGGGGCAGGTGCCCGGGGCGCGGGAGTCGGACCACCAAGCCTCCATCCCCGAGTCCAGCACTGTCCGCACCCAGATACCTCCTTCTTCCCCCACCCCCTGCCTGTCCAGGCTGCAGCTTGCTGCGAGGCGCCCCGACCTGTGGATGAGGGACGCCCCCAGGTCTTGGCTGCCAGAGCACCCCCCCCCGCCCAGTGCTTGGTCACAGTCTTTGGCCAAAGTGAGGGCCAGCCTGGAACCAAGCCGAAATCAGGGCCTTGGCTGTGTCCAAGAATAGGACTGGGACCCGCCATCCCCTCCCCCCACCCCCACCGTCGGAGCCGGCTTGCCCCAGGGGTCCGCCCTGCCGCCTTCTGCCGGCCGTCTTTCTGCACCGCCTAGGGAAGGAGCAGAGGCCGAACGCCGTCCTGGCCAGGTGAAGAGCCTGCTTGCTCCCAGGGCCTTCCCAGGCGGGCGGGCAGGGCTTCTCTGTGGCTGGCTGTGTGTGGGTGTGTATGTGTGAGACTGTGAATGAACGCGCCAGCCTGCTCCCGCCACCGCCTCTGGAGCTAGCAGCTTGCAGGGCTTGGAGTCCACATGTGAACAGTGGTCCCACTATTTCTTCCTGCCCTGGGGACGGGCAGTAGGGAGTCAAGGCTGGAGGAGGTGCCTCGGGTCCAAACCTCTCTGCTACAGATGCTCTTGAGAGAAGTAGGCATGGGGGGCTGGGCAAGCATACATAGAGACATTGTGTGTCCTCACGAGAGCCAACGGGTGACCCCTGACTGGGACAGCCTGGTCCAGTAGAGAGGACTTTGTCCAGGGAGTCCAGATTACTTGCCACTGTGGGATTTGGGGCAACTCACTTCCTCTTTCTGGGCCTCATTTTCCCTGCTTGTAAAATGGGATGAAGGTAATTACTGTCCTTCCTGCCCCAGAGGCTGTTGTGGCTATGAGATTGAGATGATGAAATCAAAGGGCTGAGAAAAATAGAGAGCTGTCCAACTGTGAGTGACTGTGTGGGAACACTAACACTCACTCCTGCAGGGGTTAGGCACTGAGCTCTGCCCCCAAGTGTCCTCTCCCCTCTCTGGGCCCCCTTCCCCACTGCCCCCTCTTTTAGAGCTGGGACATTCCAGTCTCATTCCTCTGGGGCAGCTGCAGACACGCCTCCAGCTAAGCTGATCCTCCAGCAGGTGGTGGGACCCACCCCTGGGGCCAGGGCTCAGGAGGGGCTAACCGCAGCCGAGGCCAGACTGGGAGCTTCCTGCTCACATGGGAGCTAGGATGTCCACCCCAGAGGAGACACAAGGTGGGGTCAGGAAAGGCTTCCTAACAAGACAGACATACTCTTTAAACCTGTGTGCTTTCTCTCTGGGCAGCTGAATGGGACCTTAGCCACATTAATTCACTTCCTGAGCCTTAATTTCCTCTTCTGAAGAACAGGGATAACAGTCCTCACCTCCTGTGTGTGTTACGAGGATGTGGTAGTGCCCAAGTCAGGCCTGACCCAAGGAGACACCCACTACCAGGCATGGGCATGCTCCCCGCTAGTACTCTCCTTCTCTGCTTCGAGGCCAGTGCAGTCCCCCCGGTGCCCTGCGCCTATTTCCACAAAGTTGGTCCGAAAGAGATGCCCCTCTGTGCCCAGGGCTTTCTGTGCTGCTGGTTAGTCTTGGTGTCAGGTGATGAGAGCAGAAGTAAGGGTCCCTGTTGGGGCCAGCTGGGGCCCAGGGAGGATGTGGCTTGTGCTGCCTGGCACAAATCTAGCCCACCTGGCTGGTGGGGGATTTCAGCTCTGTGCTGAGCTCTGGGCCCAGGGCAGGCACCCCGCTCTAGGCAGGGAAGGAGGAGGAGGCCCCGGATTTTTGCTCTGCTGGTCCCATTGAGGCTGCAAGGCCCTTGCGCTCTCACCCTCCCTTCTCCCTCTCCTAAGTCCTCTGCTGCTCAATCTGCGCAGCTGCCCCAGCCAGACCATACCAATCCCATAGCTTCCCAGCAACAGGGAGGAATGTGTGTGTTGGGGGAGGGGGTGGCAGTGGAGTGGACCCCTTCAGGAGGAGGGACTAGCCCCCAGACTAAGACCTGGGCAGGCTGGAGCCTCTGGAAGGCTGGGCCCTCCTGGGGGAGCTGGTCATACAGAAGAGAAGTTATCTAGGAGGCGGGGACGGGGTGAGGACCTCAAGGAAAGGCAGAGGAAAGGGGCCATCTGCACGCCCTTCATCGAACTCCACGGCTATTTCTAACTGCTCCGGTTACTTACGTGCGCCTGCATCTAGCCTTGGGGCTGTGAAGGTCACCTGGGTCTTCATGCTGGGGTGTTCCTCTGTTCCATCTGTGTGTGTCCCCCAGGGGTGCTCAGTGTTGTGTGACTGCGTCTACTGTTGGAGGAACTGTCTGCGCAGTATCCTCTAACATAGGAGTCTCCGTGCTGCTAGGTGGGACTGACTGTGGACTGTTACGTGTGTTGTATGCGTTGCTGTGGCTACTTCTAGTCCAGGGACTTGCCCCCTGAACCTGAGACCCATTGTGGGGAAAATGGTGTGTCCATCATCTCAGGAAGAGAGGCACTGGGCAGTGAGGTGGTATGTGTGGAGCAAGGTGGGCGTATTTGGCACCACAGCCAACATTGCCACCCCCATGTTTGTACAGGGCTTTCAGTCCACTCTCCGTCGTCTCTGTGACTGTCACAGGAACCCTACCAGGAAGGCGGGGCAGGCAGTGTCTTTCTAATTTTAGAGATGGGGAAACTGAGCCATGGCAAGGGGTGGAGCATCAGTGCCCAGGGTTCCACAGAGAGTGTGTGGGGCAGGGCTGTGTACCAGGCTGTCTGCTGTACTCCTCCCCAGGCTGCCTCCCAGGAGCGACAGTTCAGTGTGTCTGTCTGTCACTGGGGGGATTACCACTGGGGGAGGGGGGCGTCAGGGTGGGAGGCAGGATGCTTGAATTCCAATTCTTTTGCCTGCGGGTGACATCCTGGGGCCCTCAACTAGTCATTCAGGAATCACATGCTGGGATCACACTCACCCTGACCAGCTCTGTGACTTGGGCAAGTCAGTGCACCTTCCTGTGCCAGTGTCCTTAACCTAAAACTAGGAACAGGAGCTATGTCACAGCACTCAGACCTCTACCCAGGGCTGTGCTGCCATAGGAGCTCAGCACCTGTGATTCCGCACCTGTCTGAGCACCCCCTACTCTCCCCACCCTGTGTGGCTACGACACCCTCAGAAGGGTTGGAGCCTGGGATATGCACACTCAGATCCGCCCCCCACCCGGGTCTGGCAGCTGGGAAGGGCTGGTTGGGAAGGATATTTGTGCCTAGGGTAAGGTTGAGGGCTGTAGGGTGTCAGGGGCAAGGCATGGCCCTTCCTCCCATTCCCTTGTCTCCCACAAACACAAAACCTGGAAATGGTTGAGGAAGATGGAGCCTCCTAAAGACTATTGTTTGGGGCGGGATGGGTGTCCCGGAAGCACATTGGTGGGTGATGAGGACTTGCCGCTGCAGCCAGCCGCCCTGCTGGGAGTTTGTCTGGTAACGTGCTCAGCCGCACGTGCATGTGAGCAGAGAGGTTGGCATCCGTCCATCCATCCCACAGAGCACCTACTGTGTGCTGGGTGCTGGGCGAGGTCTGAGGGATTCCTCCAGAGTGTGGGTCCCAGTATAGGTGGGAGAGGCCCACAGGGTTGATCACTTGGCTGTCCAGCAGGCGCACGTGGGTGTGACTGGCTCAGCTCAGCTCCAGCGAGCGAGTGTGGACTCAGACGCTGGCCTGGGTGCTTTGTCATATTATCTCACCCTGTCCTGTGGCATCCTTGTATTATCTCCGTTTTATGGATGAAGAAACTGTTTCAAAGAAGCGATGGCTTGGCTAGGTCATTAACTGATTGGCTCCAGGCTGGGTCAGGGTTTGGGATCCTGCCCTGCCTGGTGGTGGGCTTTGGAGTGACAGCATCTGCATGGGCTGGCAGGGGCTCAGAAGCCCCTTCCCTCTGCCTCCCCCTCTGCACAGACATGAACACCTGTTCCGGAAGCTGTGTCCATTGTTGGCTCCATCCTTCCTTCCCTCGGCCCTTCCTGTTTGTATCCCTCCCGGTGTAGCCCCCAGGCCCCACCCATTCCAGATGTTTCCCTTGGGAAACTCTGACCCTTGGCAGGAAGAGGGGCTGAACTGGATTTTCCCTTTCCCAAGGGAGGAAGAAGGAATGGAGAGTCTGAAGCCACGGGCCCTGGTTCCCTGTGCCCTTGCCCTCCAGATTTGGTGGGGAGCCCAGAAGGAGAGTAAGGTCAGGGTTTACACAGAGCCTGAGTCCAGCCTCCTTGGCCCTTTGCTGCTCAGTCCTGAGTCAGGGGTGGGGGTAGGGGTGCGGGTGGGGTGGGGGTGAGGAGGCTATCCTGCTGCTTCAGGGTCATACCAGCCCCCTACACCCCCTTTAGTCTTGGTGCCCCAGCTGGGGCAGCACCCATGTCTGTTTCCTCAGACTTGCCCAGTCCCACAGAGTGTTAGGGGGCAGGTGACTTTGGGGTCTGCCCCTCTTTCTGTCACCAGCTTGGGAATTCTGTCCTGGGATTCTCTCTGGCACCCACATCTGCCTGCCCCTGGGCCTGGACCAGGTGGAAAACTATCCCTGAGAGCAAGCACCTGGTTTCAGGGACATTGGGGAGGTGGGCATCAAATGCCCACCGGCCCCTGACGGAGCCTTCTGATCCCTAGAAGCAGCTGCCCTGTTGAAACTTCATGGCCACAGCCCCAGGCCCTGCTGGCATTGCCATGGGCAGCGTGGGCAGCCTGTTGGAACGGCAGGACTTCTCCCCTGAAGAGCTACGGGCAGCACTCGCAGGGTCCCGGGGTACCCGCCAGCCCGATGGGCTCCTCCGGAAGGGCTTGGGCCAGCGTGAGTTCCTCAGCTACCTGCACCTCCCCAAGAAGGACAGCAAGACAGCCAAGCGGGCTGCTAGGAATGAGCCCGCCGACTACACCACCCTCTACTACCATGAGAATCCCTGGGCTGGGGACTTCAGCAAGACCTCACTGCCCGAGCGGGGCCGCTTCGACAAGGTGCACCCCTGTCCCTTCCCTTCATCTTGGGGGTGGGGGGGAGGGGGCTTGGGGATGGGACTCTGGAGGCCTGCTTGGAGACCCTGGGGTTGGGACAGGGTAGGCTGGGACATGAAATGTTGCTCTGGGCTGGCCGAGCTCGGTCACTGCCTGCTGGTGACACAGGCATTCTGTTCTCTGAGATGATCCCTGGAGACGGTGGGAGCACTGAGTGGGCAGACAGGGCGGCCAGCCCAGAGCCTCATGCTGTCCTCTCTTCCGGCAGTGCCGCATTCGCCCATCTGTGTTCAAGCCCGCAGCGGGCACCGGGAAAGGCTTCCTATCCATGCAGAGCCTAGCCGCCCACAAGGGCCAGAAGCTGTGGCGCAGCAATGGTAGCCTGCACACGCTGGCCTGCCACCCTCCCCTGAGCCCAGGGCCCCGGGCCAGCCAGGCACAGGCCCGGGCCCAGCTGCTGCATGCCCTCAGCCTGGACGAGGGTGGCCCCGAGCCTGAGCCCAGCCTGTCAGACTCCTCCAGTGGTGGAAGCTTTGGCCGCAGTCCTGGCACTGGCCCCAGCCCCTTCAGCTCCTCCCTGGGCCATATCAACCACCTCGGGGGCTCCCTGGACCGGGCCTCGCGGGGCCCTAAGGAAGCAGGGCCGTTGTCTGTGCTGAGCTGTTTGCCCGAGCCACCACCCCCCTACGAATTCTCCTGCCCCACTGCCGAGGAGGTGGTGGCCGCAGTGCTGCCTGAGACCTGTGAGGAGCTCAAGAGGGGCCTTGGGGATGAGGACGGCTCCAACCCCTTCACACAGGTAAGGGAGGCCTCTTCTCAGGGGTCCTCTCTGTCCCTTGGCATTGGGGTATGGGGAAGACAGAGAGTCCCCAACCAGCTTACCCACGTGGCTCTGAGCACAGGGAGAATAAGAAAGAGGAAGATGATTCTGCTCCTGTCCCCCACCCCACGTGTCACTGGTAGTCCTTGCATGGGAGTTGGGTGGGACAGAGAGAGGTTCCCTGGGAGAGCCCTGTGTTGGGGACACTTCATCTCTGGGGGGCATCCCAGGTCAGGCAGCTGTGTGTCTGGGGCACTGAGCCCTGTGATGCTGGGTGTAGGACGTGAGCCAGGGCTGGAATGTTGAGGTGTCAGCTCTGAGTGGAGCGGTCCCCGTCTAGGCAGCTGGTCTATGGGTGGGTGTCCAGCGTGGCTGCACTGGCCCTAGCTGGCTCCTCTTCCCCTGGGCAGGTGCTGGAGGAGCGGCAGCGGCTATGGCTGTCAGAGTTGAAGCGTCTGTACGTGGAACGGCTGCACGAGGTTGCCCAGAAGGCCGAGCGGAGCGAGCGCAACCTCCAGCTTCAGCTGTTCATGGCCCAGCAGGAGCAGCGGCGCCTGCGCAAAGAGCTGCAGGCTCAGCAGGGCCTGGGCCCTGAGCCTCAGGCCCTGGGCACCCTCCCAGATGGAGACCCCAGTGTCCGACCGGAGGAGGCCAGATGGGAGGTGAGAGATGGCCAGGTGCTACAGTCCGGTCCTCTGCCTGCCCCCAGCCGTCCCCTTACCTTGCCCATCCTGTGTCCCTCTGCAGGTGTGCCAGAAGACAGCGGAGATCAGCCTCCTGAAGCAGCAGCTGCGGGAGGCCCAGGCGGAGCTGGCCCAGAAGCTAGCTGAGATCTTCAGCCTAAAGACGCAGCTTCGGGGCAGCCGGGTGCAGGTGCAGGCACAGGATGCGGAGCTGGCCCGGCTGCGTGAGGCCGTGCGGAGGCTGCAGGAGCAGGCCCCTCGGGAGGAAGCCCCAGGCAGCTGTGAGACTGATGACTGCAAGAGCCGGGGGCTGCTGGGGGAGGCTGGAGGCAGCGAGGCTGGGGATGGCGCCGAGAAGCTGCGGGCTGAGCTGCTGCAGGAGCGGCTGCGGGGCCAGGAGCAGGCGCTGCGCTTCGAGCAGGAGCGGCGGACATGGCAGGAGGAGAAGGAGCGGGTCCTGCGCTACCAGCGGGAGATCCAGGGGGGCTACATGGACATGTACCGCCGCAACCAGGTGCTGGAGCAGGAGCTGCGGGCACTGCGGGAGCCCCCCACACCCTGGAGCCCTCGGCTCGAGTCCTCCAAGATCTGAGACCAGCAGAGTAAGCTGACAGAAGAACTGTCAGAAGATGGCCTGGACAAGCCTGCCCCAAGGCGGAGGGCCTCTTCCCTTCCCTAGGTCTGGGGCAGTATCTTCGAGGCTGGCCCAAGGGTGGGGAGGCCCACCTAGAGGAGGGATCCAGTGGGGCTGTGGGCTACATAGGTGGCAGGAGAAGGAGCACCGTTGGAGAGGAGCACCCAGGCAGGGCCCAGACCTGCTCCCTGGAGTGGGGTGGCGCAGGGAAAGAGATTAGGGGATAAACAGCCCCATGATGCAGAAGGGCCTGCATGAGGGAGGGAGGCTGGAGACCTGGGATGAGACCTCCCTGGAAGGAGGCTGGTATGGGAACATTGGCCTCCCCCAGAATAAAACTAGGTTTTCTATGAAGAGGCCCTGGCTGATACATCAGGCCTGGCCCTGGCCCGAGTCCAGAAGGGTGGTGGATGGTTGGGGTTGTTGACCTGGGCTGCAGCTCCTCCCTGGGAAGGAGGACTTGGTCAGTGGGAGGGGTGTGTGCCTGGGTCTGCATGTGAAGCCACTAGGCGCCTGCATTTGGGGAGTGGAGGAAGCTCTTTCCTTGCCCTGCACAATTCCTTAGCAGCTCTGCAGGCTGGGATTTCTTCAGCACCAGTGGGGTTTTTGGTAAGGAACAATACCAGGGAACCCCGGGAAAACAAAAGGGCAAGTCAACTGGGGCATTTCTAGAATATAAGCCATTTTCTTGGTGGGTAGTCTGGGCCCCAGATGCCCAGGCCCTTCTGGGGTTTGGGGCTGGCCTAAGGCAGCTTCTGCTTGAGCATCCAAAGGCTCTGAGGGGACCCTGCCCTTCCCGGAAGGGCTTTCTGTGTGGCTGTAGCGCGCCCTCCCTCAGTAACACTGGAGGGTTGGAGGGTGGCTAGGAAAGTGCAGGGGAAGAGGCAGGGAAGCTTGTGGATCAGTTGGTACAGGGCCTTCACCACAGCAAGGAGTGTGAACGTTTCTCCATAGGCAGTGGGGGCCACGGGGTGTTTTTAAGCAGGTGTGAGATAGGATGGGATTTGTATTCTCTAAAGTCCTTCCTAGAGAGGAAACAGGCCTCTCATCTCCCCTACTCTCACTCAGCTTCCTTGGGGATGTAACATTGGGATGGCTGCCCCTTCCTTGAGTGCTTACTATCTGCCAGGTGCTGTGTTAGGCCCCTGTGGGCATGTGGGGGAGCACAGGGTTGAATACAATGTGCTCCCTGCCCTGGGGAAACACTCCCCTCCCAGCCGCTGGTTGGGAAGTGGCAGCCTCTGAGTTGTCTTCATAAACCCCCCAGTTAGTTCCCTTTGTGCTCCTGCCCACCAGGGCCAAGGCCTGGTAGCATCCCTGGGCCAGCAGGTGGGTTCTGGTGGTGGAGTGGAGTCAGAGCATAGGGGCATGGATGGGTGGGTGGAGTGCTTGTGGGCTATGGAGCAAGAGCTGGTACACCCGCCTTTGTAGGGCAGAGAGTGGGGTGTGTGAGTTGTGTTTATAGCTGGTGAGTGTTTATAGCTCTGTGAGTGGCAGGTGTGTGTAGAGGTGTGTGCTTTTGGGTGGTGGGTGTGGCCAAGAGGGTGTGTTTGGGGCATCTGGCCCGCCTGGGTTGGAGGCAGGGAGAGCTGCTTCCCAGCCCCTCTCTGCCCCATTCCTTCCTGCCAGCTCCAGTCCCTTTCAGCTCTGGCCAGGCCTGGACAGACCCCTGGGCCTCGCTGAGACTTGTCTAGGCCCACACCTGAGCCCAGGTCTTCTGCCCGGGAAATGGGGAGTACCCAGGTTAGCCAGGCCTGTCACCCAGCTTCAGTGCCCATTTCACAGACCCCTCCAAACAGAGGTCTCTGGGCTGATAGCCCCTGCAGAGGACCCGCTAGAGCCAGCTGCTGGCCTGAAGCTGAGGTCACACCTTCCCACCACCAGCTGGTGGTCAGGCCAGTACCCATGTGCCCTACAGCGGCCAGGGCCACCTCTCAGTATACCAGCCTGCAGAACAGCTCCCCACCCAGCAATTAGGGAGCTAGGCTGGCCAGTATAGGCCGCGGGGAGTGGATGGGAGGTACCAAAACTTGGCAGCTGTGCCAGAAACCACAGCCAGGCCCAGATGTGGGGGGAGGGTACACGAATGCCAGAGCTGGGGCATCTCAGAGGGAACCGGATCCCTGGATTAGCTCGTCTGTGCTGGGCAAACCAGTTCTCGGGTCCCCAAGCCGGCTGGGTGGCTCTGGTGCCAGCTGATCACAGGTGCCAGTGCAGTGGCTACTGCTCCAGGGCAGCCCCTCCCTCCTGCACCTGGTGGGCCCTGCAGCTCCCCAGAGGCTCCAGGAGCCTAGCAGCCAGTTGTCTTCAGGTCTGTGATGAGCTCCCCAATGGGGCTTCTGGCCTCCTGTCTGCCCTTCTCCCCCCAAGCTCTGATCGAGTCATGCCTCTGATTCAAAGCTTCCAATGGCTCCTTGGACCCCTTAGCCTATCACTGGGGCCCCTGATAGTCTGGCCTTCAGGGTCACCGAGATTGGTGCCCCCCTTTTGACCCCAGCCACCCCTCACAGGCCTCTGGGCCCTCATCTTCCTGACATACCCCTCCTCACAGCACTTGCATCTTGCCTCCACAGGGGAGCCCTCTGTGACACACCCCCCTCCAGTGCCTGGGTACTCCCTCTTCCCTGTGCCTACAGCCCCCATATGTCTCTCCATCAGCTGCTGTACTTTTTGGGTGTCTGTCTCCATGGGCTGTGGCCACTGCCAGGGCAGAGTGACGCCTTCTGTTTTTATCCCTGCTCAGAGCCCTGCTCTGGCTCCAGGCCAGATGATGGTGTGGGGGGCGGGTGAAATCAAGGGTGACCAGATGCCCGTCTGACCTAGGATGGGTTTGAGTTGGGGGTAGGGTGCGGTAGGAAAGGTTCCAGCTCTGAAGTTCGTTCCCTGTTGGTGGCACCTTCCCTGTGTTGGGCCCTGTGTGAAGACGGGGGCTCCAGAAGACCAGTGGCCCTTCTATTCCACAGATGAAGGTTCTCAGGTGAGGATGCAGAGGTGGGCCAAGGCCCTCTGGCTCCCTGCCCTTGCTGCGATGACCCGTGGGTGGGGAAGGGAGATAATACAAGTTCATGTTAGTGAACATTTTGGAGAATGACTGGGGCTAGGCAGGAGATGGAGGATGGGGGAGATTCCAGAAGAACTTGGAGCTGTAGGGGAGGGGACATCAGACATGGGAACAATGAGTGGCTTCTGTAGTAGTGAGCCAGGCAGCAGGGCATGGAGAAGGCAGAGGGGCCCTTCCTGGGAGCATGAGGGGAAATTTCTCAGACTGGGGAGAAGCATTAGGGAGCCTTTCTCCAAAGGGGGTGCAGGTCCCACAGGGACAATTCATATAGGGCATCTCCTCACCCTGGTGGGTAGGGGTTCAGCCTTCTGTATTTGATTCAGAAAAGAAAAAGCATGTGATGGTTCTTGCAATAAAAACAAAAGTGTGTGTCATCAGAGAAGTGAGGTTTGAATGCTGTGGGTAGTCAGGAGAGCGGGCTATTTGTCACTCTGGGTGGTGGGTGGGGGCAAGCTTCTCTGAGGAGGGGCCAGCCAAGCTGGCCTTCACTAAGGTTGGTGGGATGTCCTTGGGTTTAGGTATGGGTTGAGGGCATTCCAGGATGGGTCTAGATGTGGACAACGGAAGTGTGGCGCGGGTTTGGGGGATGGGGCCTGCCTAGATCGGGGGGTCCATGGGGAAGGAAGGATGGACCAGAAGGCAGAACAGATCCTGGATAAACTGTAAGCTAGCACAAAAGGACTTCACCCTGAAGGCCATGAGTGGGTGCCTGAGCAGCCAAAGGGAAGAGTGACCCAAGGTCAGCAGTCACACAGGGCCCCACGCTCACTTGGTGTAATGCCCTGCAGTCTTGGAGCCCCGGTGGTGCACTAGTTAAGAGCTTGGCTGCTAACCAAAAGGTCAGCAGTTCGAATCCACCAGCTGCTCCTTGAAAACCCTATGCGGCAGTTCTATTCTGTCCTATAGGGTTGCTATGACTCAGAATTGACTCGACGGCAACGGGGTTTTTTTAAGGGTTGCTGTCTTGAGATTCATAATCATTTTTAAACAAGAGGCCCTGCATTTTTATTTTGCACTGGACCATGCAAAATATGTAGCCTGCCCTGGCCTAAACCAAAGTCTTGCAGGAGGGATGGGAACAGGGAGAAGGGACAGGGATCGAGTTAAGAGGCCACCTGCAGGAAACAGGGTGGAAGGAAAAGAAGAGCAAGAGGGCCTGAGCAGGTCCAGGGCCTGGCCAGAGATAGGTAAGGCACTTTTGGCTCCCACGGGCTGACCCCTGGTACCCGCCGTTTCTGTGGAGGAGGGCAGGCAGTGGGTCTGATGCTGTGAGTTGGTATATATTCAACGGCACACAACAACTCTGTGTACCTGTTTCCCCCCTCCCCCATTTTAAGATATAATTTGCATACAGTAAAATTTACCCTTCTTTAAATGAAGTTTTTAGAGTTTTGACAAACAGTTGTATAACCAACTCTACAATCAAGATACAGAATAGTTTCATCACTCCCCATAATTCCTCTGTGCTCCTCTGTAGTCAGCCCTTATCCTCCACCCCCAGTTCCTGACAACCATTTATCTGTTTTCTCAGTAAACTTGTTTTTCCTTGTTGTAAGGGGTGTTTAACCCCACCACATATTAGGACATATTACAAAACAGCAAATAAAACATTATGGTATTAGTGAAAAAATAAAAATAAACTTCAGCAGAACAGAATGAAGAGCCAAAAATAGATTCAATTTTGTAGATAATATATGATAAAGGGCTTCAAAACAAAAGGATAAGGAAGGATTATTTAACAAGGGGTGCTAGGATAATTGGATAATTTGGGGGGAGGGAAGGAGTCATACTTTGCACCATCCCTTGCCAAAATGGACATTTGAGGAGTTAAAATTTAAAAGTCCAATCCTAGGAAACCAGCAGAGTTAAACAGGCTATTACCGAATTAGTGGAGAACTGCTAAGTTTCTCCGTTTTGAAGCAAAAAAGAAAAAAGCAACAACAACAAAAACCCAATGTAGACAGACTGACAAAATTATCTATGTCATAAAACTTGATGCACGATGGAAAGTAATAAAACCAAGATGGAAAGACAGCCACTGCCCAGGGAAAGCAACGACAAAGGTTAAAAGACCCTAGTGTGTGAGCAAGGCGAGTGGCAGCCGGCAGCCGGCAGCTGGGGCTCCAGAGCGGAAACCGGGGAAGCCCGGGGCGTG